GTAGATAAAAGACCCAAAGCTCTAGACCCCTGACAAAAAACATGTGCTGTGCCAGAAAACATAAACTCCGGAATCCTGAACCCTCGAAAACCATGGTGAACCCGTTTTTGGGTGCCAGCGAGCTTCCCGGTAAAAGCTAGCTGACATAACCCCAAAGATAATCTGTTTTGGAGGATAACAAGATTCTGAAACTTGGGCAGAAACAGACATCTGCCAACTATTTATGGAAGGATACGAAAAGAGGAATGAAGGGGTCTGAAGTTGGTAAAAAAGCTTCGATGAAAGACGATTGAAAGTAATTGTTAGATTGTAACTATTTAGAAAGTATCGGTTTTGCTGAATATTAGCAATAAACCTTGCTATATCTACTGCTTATGATGAACATCTGGAAGAATTACGCTGTTCCATTGCAAGTGGAGACATAGAATCACTTCTCTTCTTACCAAACAAACACAATTACATAAATAATGCAAAACTGGGAAAATTCACCAGATGACTGCTACAGCATGATTAGTTCACTTACCAACTAGATTTTCATAAGTTTCCTTGACTTTTTTGTACAAATGAGATCTATGCATCCCCTGCGACTGAACCAGAGTCAGCAACCCGTGGCGAAACCTGCTCATAACTGAAATGAAGTGCATATGTAGTAGGTCTGACTTGTACAATCAGACCCCGCAATTCATACAACAATCTGTCTGGAAACATTTTAGTAATTGAAGAATCTGCAAAAAATATCCCAGATTGTTATGAGGGTTATCAGTTGTAACTGAATTTGAAAATGCTTACAGTCTTTTATGCGTTGATAGAGGTTAGGGTGCAAATAACTAGCAGCCGTTTGCTTTCGCCTGAGATTTTTGCACCGGATCAGCTGTCGTACGGTGCCCTCATCATGCAAATCTATTTCCAACATCACTGTATCAGAATAGGAGAACGCCTCTCGAACGCGATCGGAAACTGTAAATAAGATATGTTTGCGTAAGAATCTCCAACTTTATCACACGTGTATTAGAAAGTCTTCTTTCAAAGAGGCTGTGAATGTAACAAGAGCAATACAGGGTGTCCCAAAAGTAAGTACACACTTTTTAATC